TCCTTCAGCCCCACTCCTCTCTTGGGAGAGGTGACAGGAGGTCTGTGCCTGTAATATTCCATAAAGGCTGAGGAGCAGTACGATGGTGGGTGGGCAGGGCGTCAGCTGTCTCTCTTGAAATGCCAGAGCCTGGGCTCTGATAATTAACAAGGTTGAGAGAGCATTTCCTTGGTGAACTTTACTGCTTGACCCAGTTGACTGGGGCACTCTGGGGAAATGGGCCTTGATTCCTGCTCTCACTTCCCAAGATTGAAATCTGGCATTTATATGATTGTTCATATTGAAACAGGCACCCACAAGACCGCATGTTCTCAGTTGGGAAGAAGCCATTATATTTTGTAATTCTTTTTTTTGAAAGTACATACTCTAAAAAAAAAAAAAAAAGTATGTACATTTCAAATAGAAACCTGTGTGTTTTTTCTTTGTCTTTTTTTTTTAAGATTTTATTTATTTATTTGACAGAGACACAGCGAGAGAGGGAACACAAGCAGGGGGAGTGGGAGAGGGAGAAGCAGGCTCAGGGAGCCTGATGCAGGGCTCGATCCCAGGACCCCGGGATCATGACCTGAGCTGAAGGCAGACGCTCAACAACTGAACCACCCAGGCGCCCCTTTGTTTTGTCTTTATACATAAAATGGACCTTGATTGAAGTAATTTTTATTTTCATGAGGAATAATCAAAAGCATCTTCGATTATTCGGATTTGGGGAACGCTCACATTTGCTAGGCTTTATCTTTTTTAAAAGGTAAAGATTTCTCCCATCTTGTTTGGTGAACAAGGGGTATGGATATTTGGCTTAAATGTTACAAATTATTTCTATTAAAGCAGTCAACAATATTCTTAAAGACAGTATTCTAAAATCAGCAGCTGGTAGTTGGTAATGTCTTTTAAATTACCTAGTAATAACCTTTAGTCAGGTTTCCAGTATTTGGGAGGTAGATGTTCTCGGTTTATGGATGGAGAATTAAAGCACAGAGAAAGTGCAGTACCTGTCTGAGGTAAGTCCCATGGTTGGGGACAAAAGCCACGTTCATATTCTCTTTCATGTAATAAACCAATTAAAGAAGATGGTGTTCTAGTTAATAGCAAGGAATAGCTTAACAAGTGGTTCTCAGAATATTGTCCTTGGGCCATCAGCATCGTCTGAGAGCTTGTTAGAAGTTTAAATTTTCGATCTTACCCTGGATCTGCGGAACTAAACTCGGGAGGTCTGAGTCCAGCAGTTTGGGTTTGTAAAGCCCTTTCGAGTACTTGTGACACACTCGTGAGTTTGAGAAGCACAGCTTTGGTACCTGTGGATGTCGTTCTAAATGCTCGGAGTCGCCAGGGTGATCCAGCCTGTGGGGGACTGAGGGTAGGGGGCGGGCAGGGGGCCGGCAGTGGGGCAGCCTCCTTGGCACACAGCGCCCTCCCAGGCCCCCCAGACCTGACTTTTCAAGGTGCAGAGGGAGGATAGGTCAGGAAGCAGAAGAGGAGGAGCTTCTGTCTGACTTGCCTCTCTACAGCAGGTGCCTTGCCTGAGGCCCCCCTCCTGTTGGGGGTGTCCTGTTACTGCACCCCCCGGGACTCATGGCTTCTTTGTCGTGTTCTGGTCGGAATCTCACGCTCTCAAGAGCAGCCTCAGCCGCTCACTTTGGTTCTTTGATTGAGGATCCCTGGGCGTTGCTACATCCTTTCATTTTGGGGGGCTGGGCACTGGCTCACAGGGCGTGCGGTTTGTGCTTGGGATGTGGAGGCTTCCTGCTGAGCTCGCTGCTCCCCCCTGGAACAGGAGCTGTACTTCAGACCCGTGGGAGAGGGGAGCAAGGACCCTGTCTGGCTCGTAAGGCGTTAGATTCCCTGCTTCTGACGTGAGGTGCTTGGTGAACAGCTGTTGAATGAAAGTCCGTATCGTCAGCACCAAGGTTGTATCCTGTCCTGTAGAGCTCATGCATGCCCTTTGTCCGCTTCTGTTTAAGACAGTGGTTCTCAAAATGTGGTGCTCCCCCCGGCACCCCCCACAGCCCTGCCCACAGCAGCAGCACAGCGTCACCTGGGAACTTGTTAGACATGGACATTCTCAGGCCTCACCCCAGACCTAATGACTCTGAAACTCAGGTGGGAACCAGCCATCTCTGCTTTAATAGAGTGATGCTTTGGATTCTGATTTATGCTTTAGATTTGAGAACCACTGGTTTTAGGTGCTTGGGTTTTTTTTGTTTTGTTTTGCTTTGTTGTTTTTAAAGATTTATTTATTTGAGAAAGAGAGAGAGTAGGGGTGATGCAGAAGGAGAGGGAGAATCCTGAAGCTGTCTCACCACTGAAATCAGAGCCTGACGTAGGGCTCGATCCCAGGACCCTGAGATCAGGACCTGAGCCGAAATCGGGAGTTGGCCACCTAACCGACTGAGCCCCCAGGCACTCCTGTTTTGTTTTGTTGTTGTTGTTGTTTTTAATGATACCTTTTATTATAATTTTCTGGGAAAGTAAAGATGTTTGGCATTTAGACTTTGGAGATAAGAGTGTGCTGGGGCTCAGTGTGGCATCCTCCGGAGCACATGACAAGGTGCTGTTAGCTGATTGTTACCTGCTTGCACACCCTTCCTTGAGGACTCAGGGTCCAGCAAGTGGCCTCCTGCCACCTCACCCCCAGCTCGCCCCCAGTTGTGGTCTCTTGCTCCACAGGGAGCTGAAAGAGGATAGAAACACTGGAGGGTACGGAACTTTCCATCCTGGGGCTTACGGTTTAAAGGGCACAATTCAGCCAAGCAGTACACCCATTGGAGAGAAAGCACTTTCTGATCTGCGCGCTCTCTCTCTCTCTCTCTCTCTCTCTCTCTCACACACACACACACACACACACACACACACACACACGAGCATTCATTCACCTTTTGTTCTCTTTGCTTTAAGTTGGAAATATTCTTCCTCCTTTATATAAACTCTAGATATTAAGTAAGGAAGTATACTTTGGATGACTGAATGCCCTTTTCCCTGCGCAATTTCTCAAGTGTAACTTTTTTTTTTTTGGCCTTTGCTAAGCTATGCAGGGTAAAAATGTTGTGTTTATTAATAGTATAGTTTACATGGTCAGTTAACTATTTCACTTCTGATTAATCCTAAAAGAGAAAAGCTTTTTTTTCTTGAGCCCTCTATATAAAATTTTTTTTTCCTCTGGGGCAGTATCACAGTTTAAGAATATATCTGACCATTGATTTTTTAAAAAAAAAATACATAGATAAACAGCTAGCTTTTATGTTGTTACAAGATCAGTGCAAGTTTTTAAGAAAAAATCAAGTATGACAATTGAAGAGAAAATACCCATGACCAAGTTGGACTATTCTTTACCGTATTAAGAAATTGTACGTGGATGTTTATGGGAGAAGTTATTCTAGACCCTACCAGTTTTCTGCCAAAAAAAAAAAAAAAATAACCAACCCCAAACTGACGTTACTCTAAATAACTGTTTTCTCCCACCTGTGTATAATGTTTAACTTGTCTTTGTAATGTAGGCTCAAGCTCTGCTAACAATTCCATCTTTAAGATGACAAGCCTATACCAGGGGTGGGCACTGCGCAGAGCACAAACATCCCTCTCGGGGTTTTACCTTTATCTCTTGATTTAATAGAATGTCTGCATCTGGAAACAGGAGGAATGGACTATATTCGGGGATATATATATATATATAAAATGTCAGCTAAAGCAGGGTATTCACATGCAAGCCTAGAAAAACAGGATTCGGTGAGGCACAGTTTGGCAGGGCAGGCACACTGAAATGGGGAAATGAGACGCCTAGACTTGGAGGTGTTCCCCATTCCAGAGCGTGGATTACACCAGGCACCCACTGCCCCACTCCACCTCCTGCCCCCAGCCTGGTTCTACTTTCTCGGGTCTGGTCCAGGGCTCACCCAGCACACCCAGTTACTAACTTGAGAACATGGTGGTAATGGGGAAAGGATGGTATTCACTTGGGTCTCTTTGGCTGTGAGGATCAAAACCAACTTCAGGAGGGCTTTCTCAGGATACTAAAGTGCCCCCAAAGAATCCAGGATCCTCAGAGAAAACCTAGGGTCAAACCCAGAAAGCACAAGGAGGTGAGAGGATGCTGTGTGTTGTCCTGACTGCTCTCAGCTTCACGCCCCCCTTACCGCAGACCAGCTCTGTCTTTCACGGGGCCACCTGCTTCTGGCACCCAAAGCTGCTGCTTTGAAGCCCTATGAGAGAAGCATCTCTCTTCGTGGGGGTCTGATGTCTTCATGGGCCCCATGAGGCCGTGGCTGGGTGAGAGGTGTGCGTACTGGGAGGCAGCATGGGAGAGTCATCTCTGACCCTCTAGCTGGGTCAGAAAATTCCAAAGAAGGGAGTAGTTGATGTGGAGAGGACAAAAGCGTTGCCCCCACGCATAGCATGAACATGTTGCTGTGGGTTTATTCATTAACCTTGCACTCTGCAGGAGGAATCATCTTTGGCTCCAAGAAAATCTGGATGTTGGACTTGAAAAAGCCTGGACCAGACTGGGGAATCAGGGTCATGGATGACAGTGAATTTTCCAAAGTGACTCCACCCCACGAGGCCTCATGGCCGCGAGCGGGTGATGCTTCCAGTGACACCTGTCTCTGGTGTGGACCCTTTAAACAGCCCTGGTGATGAGCAAGGCTGAAGTTCACGGTGTATGCCTTTGTGGTGGAAAAGCCTCCTGAATCTCTGCTCTAGAGACATCCTTTACTCTGAATAACATTCTGATCTTCTGCTGGAAATCGACGAATTTGAACTAATACTCTCAGAAAATATATATAGGTTACTAGATACTAATCCTTTTGGCTTCAGGAGTTCATTTGCTCACTCAGTTGTTAATTCAGATTGGGAATGAATCTTGGTACACAAACTCAGGGGTGAAAAAATACTGTACTTCTCTGAATCAGGTGTCTGGTGGTAGCAGAAAGGTTAATCTTGCGGCTCTTTCCCGTATCACCCTCCCAAGATTGTGCCAGAGTTCCAGGCTTCTGCTATTTGTCATAAAGTCGGAAGGCCCCCTGGGTCATCTCTTCACACTGATCCCTGTTCCTGTTGGGTCAGAATTGAGGCTGGGGGGTGGGGGGACACTTTGTCACAGGAGGAGTCCAAGCTCCGCATCCTGCCATTCTCTTGGGGCCCCTGCGTGTCTGGGGGTGCAACCAACGAGCAGGTGTGACCCTCTGCAGCTCCAAGTTTCACACTCAGCTCTTGTGCAAGAATCTCTTAGTCTGAGGGTGATTGCTCTCCTCTTAAGCTGTGTTCTTCTTAAGAAAGCTGGCCACAGCCTCCCTGATGCAGGGAAGCCAGAACCCTCTAGCCACAGGCATCAAAAAATAAAAACGTTTGGGGAGTGTGTGTGTGTGTGTGGGGGGGTATATATTTAGGACTAAATCAAGGAGAACCCTATAGCAGATGGCAAACCTTGCTCGCAGCATTAATAAAAATCTGCCACCTTGGGCAACCAGCAGATGACCGAGGACCTGTGAATGCTTACTCGTCTAGAATTTCAGCACCGGCTCTACATAAAATATTTATGCAGCAGTGCTTCTTAACCCCCGACCAAAGCGTGGGCTCACGTGTATACTGTTACTATAGACGTCACCAACGTATAACCAGCTGAAGAACCTTGAAGTGTATTTAGAATGTTGGAAAGTAAACGGCCATGGGGTTAAGTTTGTAGGGGCTGAGAGAGAGTGGCCTTGGTTCCGAAATAGAAATATTTATCTTGTGACCAGAATGGCTCTTCAGTGGTCAAGACACATGACGGAGGGAGAAGAGAGTTTACTAAGGCAAACGCTAGAAGGCATGGCGCGGAAGCTGGTAAGCTGGGGTACTGTGGGCAGAGAGACCGGAGTTAGTGTTGAGAAAGAAATGTTACCGAAAACACAGCTCGCGATCATTCTGTTACCGAGCCTCTCTTTAGGTCTCTACAGACACACTTGTGTATTATATTTGTAAAATATATCATGCGTACATACCAAAGTAGAAGATTAAAAATGCTAATAATGCTTATTATTTTTTTCTCTATTCATATCTGATTTTTCTCTTTTCTTTTTTTAATTTTTTAAAATTTAAATCCAGGGGCGCCTGGGTGGCTCAGTCATTAAGCATCTGCCTTTGGCTCAGGTCGTGATCCTTGGGTCCTGGGATCGAGCCCCGTATCGGGCTCCCTGCTCAGTGGGAAGCCTGCTTCTCCCTCTCCCATTCCCCCTGCTTGTGTTCCCTCTCTCTCTGTCAAATAAATACATAGAATCTTTAAAAAAATAAAATTTAAATTCAATTAACTCAGTTCACTTCATAATTAATTCAGTTACTGAACATCCGATTGTTCTAAACTTAACAGGAAAGCACTATTTTGAAGGAAGAAAAAGATGTTTGAAGTTATCTTTTTGGCAGTTTAGCTTATATTATACAGGTCACCCAGAGGTAGTCATCTGGTATCTGACCTGAATCTGGACTTTTTTTTTTTTTTCCCCTTCATTCTCCTGAAGCAGGGAAATAGAATGTAGATGCTGAGAGTGGATAGCATATGGCTGTTGAATAGTTCTGGAAGGTTTCTTAGAGAACCCAAACCAGGCACGCACAGGTGGTGGTGGACGGAGAGGTTGGAAGGGTCTGCAATCAGTTATTTTTGGTGACCAAGCTCTGTGCATTTGGCGAAGTGAGGAGCAAGGGAAAAATCGAGGGGAGGTACTTTTACTGGTCTCAGTCAGGCAAGCTTCAGGGTACAAAATGACCAGCACAAACTGTGGCTTGTCTCTGCTTGTCTCCACGTGCCCTCCTGGTTTCTCCTCAGTCCCCTTCAGGCTGGGTCCTGTACCAGCGTGATTGCCAATTGTCCTCAGGGGTCACCAGTGGCCACCTTACTTGTTGCTAAGTTCAGTGACCTCTTGTGAGTCCGCCATCCACAGCCTTCGACGTCACTCATGTTTGTCTGGGCTAGTGTGCCTCTCCACCCGCACGGTTATTCTGCACCTGTATCCACTCCTCTGGCTCCATGAGAAGGCCCCTGGATTGGCTATGTATGGTTTAGTCATTGCTGATGGAATAAGCTCCCGCATGAGCCTCCTCCGGGCAAGTGAAAATGGTGGCATTAATAAAATAAAAAAAAAAAATCTTATTACCTCAAGGCACAAAGGCGTATAAATTTCAAAAAGCATTTGCAAAGCGGATCCAAAAAATACTGGGTTTGTAAACACTGAAATGTGGTCCACGCTAAAGTGGAAAACTTAATCAGAATAGTCCTGTTCCAGCTGGACCACTGAGCTTAATAAACACAAAACAATGGACAGTGCTGTTAGCACACCATATGAGGTGTTAAATTGCCTAGAACGTGGGCCTTGGCGGGGCCACGGGCTCAGCTGAGCCTTGACAGAAGGGATAAGAAAAGCCATATCCTGCGTGGGGAGTGATGGGTACAAAGGCAGGGTCTAAGTGTATGTTCTTTGGAACATCGGAAGACACAGCCTGACGAGGACAGGCGGTATTTGTTGGAAGCTGGAGGAAGATAAGATAGAGTAGAGCTAGATTATGGAAGCAGCTGAGAGAGAGCGGAGGGGTAAATACTTGACAGAGGAGAATATTATTACCGCCATGGACCCGGATGTAAGAGAATGCTAGATTTGGAAATTCAAAGACCAGCAAAGTTTAGATTTGGAGGCATCCTCCAAGGTGGGATGGGAAGCGCTCCTATTTCCCGAGCCTCTGCTGTACGCCAGGCACGTGGTGTCATAGTTCTTACCTTTATAGTAACCTTAGCGGTAGATACCCTTGTCCCCATTTTACACGTGACACACTGAGCTCCACGGAAAGGTGAGGAGCACCTGGGCCAGGATTGAAGTGCAGGGACATCTGACTTGGAAGCACAATGAGGATGGAGACCATTTTCGTCTGTTCTTCATTTCGCAGTCCAGAAAACTGAGACCCAGGAGAGAGGGGACTGTTGAGGGTGACACAACAGGAGGAGCCTGGGTGGGTGGTGATCTGCCAGGCTCGAGGCTGCTGCGGGGGGCAGCTGGGGGTGCCGTGGTATCTGGCAGCGTAGTGGTGGACCAGAGCGAGAAGGAGACGCGAAACAGTAGGGCATTCCAAGGGAAAGGGGTGCTGGACTGATCCCACACTGAGGGATGGCTGGAAAATCATCCCAAGGTTTGAATCCCAGGGAACTGCCACGCACAGAGAAAATCCTCAGTGGAGCTAGTTTTCCGAGAAAGGCCATGTGCTTCTTACGGAGTGGTCTGACTCTGAAATGATGGGGACACCAAAATATAAAAATCGATGGCACTCGTGAGCTGCCTTCTGTACATACTGACCGAATACATGAACAGCCGTGGAAGTGAAAGGTGAAAGTCTGGGAGGAACCAGCCCTTGTCTTTGAAGGGACTGGGACATACCCCAAGAGCCAGCAGCTCAGCTTGTCCCGAGAGCAAAGGACACCCCCGTTTGCCTCATCTAGTCCATCTGTCACTCTGGGCCGTCCCTTCCACCCCACCCCCCACCCCCCCGGAAAACAACTTAACTCTATTCCATAGCTGTCTCTAGTCATCGATTCCCCTCTCCTGCAGGTCCTGGGCCTGGCAAGGGTATTGCTCCCCCACATTTCCCTCAGCAAGATTCTTTTTCTTTCAGAATGATCATCTCATGGCTGGACAGCCTGCTGAACGGTTGAATTGCCTCCATCTTCAAACCACACAGGGGAGATTGTCCCTGGAGCTAAAATACTGATCACAGTCATCTTTTGGCCTGACCAGATTGAGGTAAGGTGTACTTTTTTTCCTTATGGCTGTCCTGAAGTTGTCATGTTTGTGTCCTTTACCTTTGCCTCTTGGAGACCTTAATCCATTCTTTTCCCCCAGCTTTTATGCTCTCATAAGCCTTTCGGAGTGCTCTTCTTCTGTAAATGTGTAAGAGGGCGGAAAAGACTTTTATAGGATAAACTATGAGCAAGCTGCTTGGCTCTGAAGAATAAAGTGGAAAATATATTACTCCTCAGATTAAATCAGTAAAAGTACCCTATTTCCATAAACACAATATGCAGAGAGTGGATTATATTAGAGAAACTGAATAGATTGAAAGGAGTATTATTAAGGCCACTTGAAAAAAATGGAGATAACGTCAATATTAATAGATTGCTGGCTTTATTCAAGTAAAGAGAATTTAGAACATACAGAGAATTTAAAAGAAAAGTCTAGTCCTTCCACTTCCAGAGATAATCCATGGTAAAATTTTGATGCATTACTTGTAATATTTATACTACAAATATTTGTAATGATGTGTGTCTGTGTGTAGTGTTTGTGAGTGTTATGTGTGCTAACTTGGCTGATATTTGCAAACTGAGTAACATTTATCCCAGGCTTGCTTTATGCCAGGGTCTATCCCAAGCACTTGACATATATTAATTTATAAATTCTCACAAGCCGGTACGGTGGGTTTTTGTTATCCCCATTTAAACATAAGAAAACTGAGGTGCAGAGAAATTAAATGACTTGCCCGTGCTCACACAGCTGGTAAACCCACTCAACACTTGAACCAGTCAGATAAGAAAGCTCATATGAATGGGTTTTTGTTGTTGTTGTTGTTGTTTTTGCATACCTCTTTTCCTTAAGAAGATGCTGATTCCTCAGGTCGCCTGGGTGGCTCAGTCGGTTAAGCATCTGCCTTCGGCTCAGGTCATGATCCCAGCGTCCTGGGATTGAGTCCCACTTTGGGCTCCCTGCTCAGCGGGGAGTCTGTTTCTCCCTCTCCTCCGCGCTTGTGCTCTCTCTTTCTATCTCTGTCATTATCTCTGTTTCTCTCAAATAAATAAATAAAATCTGAGAAAAGAAAGGCAGATACTTACTCCTCTTTTTCTGTAGCATCGTTTTAAGTGTGTGCTGTTCACTTCCATGGTGATGTGCTGGCCTCCCTACCCTGTCTCCTTTTGGGCAACTTTTGTGCGCCTTTTGTGCACATCCATGATTAGTTCCCCAGGACATCCTGCTCTGAGTGGCTTGGCTGAGTCAGCGGGAACGCGGGAATGTTTC